AATAAATAGCCTACGAGATGGGAGGATAAAAAATATTTCAATACTTTTTCTCGCAATTATATCGTTGGGTAAGTATAGGCGACTGTATATAAACTGCGGACATCAGGGAGCCGCTACTGAAACCTCTTTCGATTGCGCGCTCTCATTTTACTTTCGAGATTCGCGATCAGCCATCGTCCTATCAGACATTTCTCCTTACTCTGTGTATGTGGTAAGTGAACTTTCATGTACTGTAAAGCAACCTTTTAGTGGCTCCGTATAACGCGTTTTGTTTCATGCTTCAGGCACACCCCTAAGCCCGCCCCCCCGATGTCATCATCCATCACGATGTTTCACTGTAGACATCGTCCGATGCCAATTTGGTAGACATCGTCCAACCCTAGTTGACATAAAGAACACTCTGAGGAGCAAAAGGCTTCAAAAGTCTTCCTTTGCTCCCCATTATCTCATTGCTGTCTAGAAGAAACAGTTAAGATTTCATTTGTGATTTTTCTCTCATATACTATATATCACAATGTCCAAATCAGGCCCGATTTATCATACTATTTCAGACACAGATGGCTCAGCATACTTGCAACAGAAGAGAAAGTAAGTAAGTGTAGTGTGAGTGAGCAGTGATTGTGTTTAAGGTCATTGGGAAGGTCTAGTGGTGTTGGAGATATAGCTGTTCACAGGACTCGCAGTTCACATCCTATAGCATTTCTGTCACATGGACATCAGCGGCGAAATGCACAGCCTTTAGTAACACAATAGCAGCCTAAATGGCTATTCTGAAAGAGATCCCGCTCCGCACATTATTTATTCATACTGCTGGTCACTGCAACCTTGGGCCTGATCAGAGAGAGAGTGAGAGAGAAGAACAAAGAAAAAAAAAAGGGGGATTGGTATAGAAGTTTGAGTACTTGTAATTTTTTATTCAATTCAAAGTTTGAAATCAAGCTATCTCGTGCTACTGCACGAAAATTACCCCACTGTAAAATAAAATCCTAAGCCCGCCCCCCCGATGTCATCATCCATCACGATGTTTCACTGTAGACATCGTCCGATGCCAATTTGGTAGACATCGTCCAACCTTAATAAGTAATATCTCCACTCACACTCTCGCCCGCGGCTGGCTCCACGGCCCCTCCGCGGGGCCCCTCCTCGGCGACGTGCCACATCTCTTTCTCCTCCTTTCTCTCGGTTCTCCTTGCCCTCATCTCCTCCATCTGTCTGTGCGCTTTCCTTCGGACCTGAAACTCCTTTCTTCTTTCCAACCATCTCCCATGAGTCCTGCAAAGCAAAGGGCAAATTTAACATGGGAAAGAAGGATGGAAAAAATGGGATTTGAAATCGTAAGACTTTGAATCAGGTATAAATAATAATAAATACACATTTTGATAAACAGTTTAAAACTGTATTGTTATAGTTAAACTATTAATATTACACGGAAAAACTTTCAGTTTCATTCCTAATAACTTTTAAAAAAAATTTCGAAAAGGTTTAAGTACTAAAACTGAAATAAAATCTATAGAAGCGTAACTATGCGTATACAAACTTTACATATAATAAAAATTAATAAAAATGTTAAAACAAATTGAAATGAGCTGGAAAAAAAAATACAGCCAATTCAAAATATTCATAAATAATCTAAATATTATATGAGTATATAAATGATATATATTTGGGCTTTTTAACTCAAGCCTGAACTCACAGTGTCAGGGCTGCCCTCCAAAAGGACATTGATGGCTCTGTTGACGTCTCCATTGCAGTCGTGAAGCGCTATCATGGACTCATCCTGATCCTTTCCTGTGATGTCAACCAGCTGGAAAAGAGAAAAGGAGCAACAAGCAGCATGTAAAATCCACGTGGGTGTATGACTTAGGCCATATATTTGGAAGGCAACAAGATAAAACGGAAGTGGCTGAGGGGACTGATGGAAACATTGAGTGAACTGTGAAGTGTCTGAGCTTTATGTTGCTCTCTAACTCAGAGTGAGACTGAGAGAGAGCATCCGGTAGCAGCTCAAATTTTACTCTAGCACAGATAGTCCCCATCAGAGCTATAGAGGGAGCAGTGAGGGAAATTTTGTGTGCGCTGAATGTAAGTGACTGCAGGTACAGGCACATCAGAATAGCGCAAGGAAAAACTGATTAGAAGCTACTGTCAAACCACTTGCAAAAAAAAATTCTTTATTGAAGGGACCATTTGATGGATGTAAAGCAGAACCTGCTATTACTTTCAGCATCCCTACTCACCTGCTTGACCTTCTCTTCAAAGTCTGCATCATTATGGTCCGAGATCATCTGCGCGAGTCGGATCTGCTCAGCGGTGGCCTGAATTAACAAAAAGGACAAAATGATTAAGTCTGATTTCATGGCAGTTGTGAAACATACTGCATTGATTGCCAGCATTATTTATGAGTCTTGGGGCCAGATTTACTAACAGCCCCAGCGCAACCCCTCTTTTGGTGTGGAAAAAAAATTACTGTCAGGATTTACTAAAGACGTGCAGTAAAACAGATGAAAAGGCGTGAATGGAATTATTTTTGCATCTAACAATATTGCATATGCTAGGGGTGTCCAAACTCGGTCCTTAGGGACATTGTCCTGCAGAGTTTAGCTCCAACCCCAATTAAACACATCTGAACCAGCTAATCAAAGCCTTACTAGGGATACTAGAAACTTCCAGGCAGGTGTGTTGAAGCAAGTTTGAGATAAATTCTACAGGACACCGGCCTTCCAGGACTGAGTTTGGACACCCCTGGCATATGCATTGTAGGAGTTTCCCCTTCACACGCAAAATGTATTAGTAAATCACCTTGAATCGTGCAAGGTGATTTAATAAGGTTAGAGGTAGTCAGTTTACTGGTTGGTCATTATGGAAATGCACTGGCTGTGTCTGTGTTCTTTAACTCGCGCTTTATCAGTAAATCACCCGTAGACCTTTCCACTCCCATTGGCGCTTTTATGGGATTGTACGCTCACACAAATTTGCCGTTTAGTAAATCTGGCCCTTAAAGTCTTAAGTTCAAGCTAAAAACACACACCATTAATTCCCTTGACGCTTTCAAATAGCCATACCTTCTAAATTAATGTGTATGATGGCTATTGATGAGCTTGTGTTTTTTGCACTTGTTCACAGAACAAATGTAAACCTTTACAAATGAGCTGGCATCTTGAATATTCCAATATGATCAATCATAATACAGCTGCTTGTTGCAATGACATTTAAGCTTAAATTAATACTTTTAGGCCTGTTTTCACAGTTAAATTAGGACATTTAAGTAGTTTTTCAAATGTGCCTTAGAAAAAAAATCTAAAAATTATAATAAAAATTGTGTCTTGTCCCCCCCACCCAAGCACGCCAGAATACAGCAGAAGAGAAATAGGTCAGACTTAGCATTTGCTTGGGCATAGATTTATGATTTTTTTTTCCTAGAGACCTTAATTTAATTCAGAAGAATGAGTGATAAACTGCAGTGACTCAAAGCAAAAGTCTCAGACTGATGGATGTCACAGACACCCCTTTTCCACCGAAATGGTGCTGGTTCTCATGGCCAGTAAAAATGCAAACAACAAGAACATAACAGACTATGCAACTAGATAACCTGCCAAATAAATTCACAATAGATTTGATCTTTTTAGTTTTAAGAAAATATTTTAACATGCAAACTATTTAATTCAGGATTTTAAGACCTAGTTTTGATGCACCTGTCAAATTATAACAATGTCATGTAACATCTATAAATACATTGTGTAGATGGAAAGAATCAAATCAAGTACCTCATTCAACATTTTTCAACTTATTTACATATAAACATGTTATTTTTTAATTTACACATTCATTTATGCCGTTTCCAGTTTCTGGTCCAAGACTAGCAAGTTTTAGGCGGCGATGTGTAGCCAGTTTTATTGCTTTGAAGTGTGACAGAACTAATCCAATCACTATAAATAATCAACAAAACCTCATGTGTGTTAACTTACCTGGGGCCTCTGCTTGTGCTGTGACTGGCTCTGTGTCTGACCCTGCGTCTGCTCCCAGTTGCCCCGGGCCCGGCTTCCGCCCACTGAAGTCATCATTTACAGTATATACAAATAACAGTATTTACAAAGGAATAACGCCTTTAAAAGAGAAACAGGTAGAAGAAATGTTACTGACAACTCGTCAAAAAATAACAATCATAAAAACATCACATGGTCTTGACAAGCCATAAAACATGCATGCAAACAAACACGTTACACCTTGTTTGGCCATTTTGATAAGCCAAAACTGGAAGTAAACATCGTCACATGCCTGACGCTCTACCCATAAAAAGACGGCCGAAGGTTACAGGAACACCAACAGAAATTAAGTTCTAAGAATTTCGAAAGCTTTGCGCAAATATCGCACGTGAAAAACAAGACCTTGTGATGTTTACAAGTCAAGCCGCAACAGGTCAACCATGTACGCGCTTCCGGAGCTCAACATCCTCGGTTAGTTTTTATTTCTTAAAAAAACAAAAAAAACAAAACCCACACACACACCGCAACGCTTGAAATTTCGATAAAATGACACCAAAAGCAATCCACCTGCTGCAAGTTGTGAAATATCGTATGTGTGGTTATGCCAAACAGCCCAGTGTAGCTACTCTGCGCATGAGGAAATGCAGGGCATGTGGTGGCCGAAAGCAACTGCGCACTTTAGAAAGCGCACGGAATCAGCCAGCATGACAGAAACACGCGGGACCAGCCGCGGGAAAACAGACTGACGACGTGCTTTAACGGACTCAGCTTAACAAAAACACCCTCAACGGCCTCTGAACGGGGTGAGGGCGAGGATGAAACTGTCAAACTGAAACCATGTTGGAGACGTGAACACAATCACACAGTCCATGGGTGAAAGTGTCAGCACGTCATTTCATATTTCTTGAGCATTCACACCATTCCGTACTGTAATTAAAACACCAGATGCGTAAGTAGATATACAACAAGGGAAATGTCTAGGAATAGAAGCACATAAAAGGCATTAATTTCCATGCACTGGAACATAAAACATTGCCTAAAGTATCCAATCTCTAAAATAAGCATCCAACAGGTAACCTACTTTACCTGTTGTGCTCTACATCCTGGGAATCCCATATTAACTTACCGGCTAAGTAGTAAGCAAAACCGTAAGCTATTAAACTTAGTTAATAATAGAAAAAACCTTAAGAGATGAAGGACTATGATTGATAAATCGAGGCGATGGGCCTTGGAAAAGCAACTCGGTATAAACTCAAACATGCAGATCTAACGATACGGTATGAACACATACACACGGTTTTAATAGTCTTAAAAGATTTTTGATACGTTAAATAAAATAGACGAGATCTAACTTTAGATGATGGGTGGCTTCCGCTCTGGCCGCGTCTAATAACCTCATGGCCGGTTATCGGGCATCATGATGATGCTGCTGCTGCTGGCCAAAAATTAGTTTTCCGGATGCTAATCAACTACATGGTTTCTCAGCGCAGTTGAAAGACTATGTGGGTAAATCGTACGTTAGATTAATCGACACGATAATAATTTGCGTTTGCACAACTGGAAGGCACACGCCCCCCAGTGTGAGGCGCACTCCCGTCGGTTCACCTGTACACTCGACACCGAGGCTTCACCGAGGCCTACAGGCCCCGAATGATAAAAATGAACAACAGGCGAGGTACTAACCAAAGACCCGGCTGGATATCAGAAACGTGGAGATAACGCCGACCGACGGAGGCTTTATTGTCGACCTCCTTATCAGACGGAAACAAAAAACGAACTATTTCGCGTCCTCAATCGATTCCCCAAAACCGACTACAAGGCCGAACCGACTCGCGCAGACAATAAGCGAGAGACTCAAAATTTACCTGTTTCTCTTCCACTCCGACACCCGGATCACCGCGTCACGTGGTTTATCACAGCCACTGCGGCTTCACGCTCAGAGCTCAACCACGTGACGCCAACGTACGCATGTATATATAACAACTTAAAACACAAGTATGCAATATATAATGTCACCCTCTAGCTGTAGTGGGTATTTGTAATGCAGAAGCCTACTTGATCATTGATACTGATGTCAAAAAATACTTATGACATAGCCTACATATTCCGTGAATAAGGACCTTGAAACTAATTTTAAATTAACTTATTTATTTAAAATAAACAATAAATAAGAACAGAATAGGTAACATGGTTGCAAATTTAGCAGTAGGTCGGTAGGTTAACTTGTTTGGGACCAATTCACAATTTACATACGAATATTTTGTTTAAAACTAGTTACTTGTAACCAGTGCTGGGTAGTAACCGATTACACGTAATCTGGATTATGTAATTAGATTTGAACAATTAAGTACTTGTGATTAGATTAATTAAATTGTAAAGTGTTCATGAGCAGATTACAGTTACTTTTTGTAGATGGCATATTACACAATGGCAATAAATAATTCATAATGAATTGATTAGCCCTAATTCTTTTTTTGGGGGGTGGGGGGGATCCATTTTCAAACTACAGAGATTTGATTATAAGACTACGCGTAGTGGCATTAACAACTGTGTCGAGTTTTGCTTGTATTTTCAGCAATCTGTTCGAATTTCATGAGACAGCAGCATTTGTTTAAGTGCAGAGTTACATCACTAGATGTCGCTAGTGGTCTGCGCTGAGTTCTTCCGAGCACCGGACAAAGACCGAGAATGATGGGATGGTTGTACTACACACTACACTACACAACCGAAAGTGTGTGCACACAGACGCTCACTTCTAATTAACGGGTTATTTCAGCGAAGATAAATCTTAATACTACAGCATACAATGACATTCTTTCGTCCATATTCCAACATCCAGTGGTTTTGAAAATAAATGTTTGATAAATTCAAGCGTGGAATTCATGTGTCCACATATTTTTGGACATGAAGTGAATGTTGTAGGGAAAACTGTGGAAAATTATAATGCACTAAAATGTCTTCAATTGGTAAGTAAATAAATAAATTGACCAGAATCTTATCACTGTTATTAGAAAAAAAAGTGTCATTGTTTTGCACATACTGTGAGCAATCTTAAATACTTTTTATTGTTTAGCCCTTACGATAAATACATATACCAGGTAAAATACAATACCAGAGAAATGTGCATAGCACTACAATTCCATCTACAGTAACACATTTTTCACATTTAATAAGAGATGGATGGAAAGGTAGAGTTAAGCACTGAATATACAGTAACAGGAAAAAAAAAAGTTCTTCAAAACACAATACAATTACAGTTACCAAAGGGAAAAGACAGCTTTGCAAGGTACAGTAAATTCAGAACTGTATATCAGAGTATATGTACATACACAGATACATAAGAAGCACAGAAATATTGTTTGTTATGGATTTTAAGATATATAGAATATACATTAATTGGCTTTATCAGATTACTAAAATTGGCTGTCAGTCACAATATTTATACAATGGCTGCATTATTAGATTCTATACATGAAACAGATATTGACAGATCTGTAGGAAATATGAATATCACCACTTACATCTACTAATATTAATAAAGTTGCTTAAGGTATAAAAACGCAGTATATGATCTACAAATCAATTATATTTATATTTATGTATTTATATTATACAAAGCACCTCAAGTGCTACTCGTGATAAACAGAGGGATGTTGCATAAACGTTGAGAGAGAAGGAATACTTGTTACTTCTTTTACAATGTGTCTCTCACTCAACCACTCTCTCTCTTCATCAGCTGTCTTCATCTGTTGCTCAGGACTTGATCTCGACCACTTTAATGAATGGCATAGACTTGTTTCCAGGGCTTGTGGGCATCAGAGGTTTGCTATAATACAAAATGACAAATACTTTTTTGAATAACCAAATGCCTTGTCCAGAATGTTTTTATGCTTTTGCAATATTTCTCATACTTGGTGCTTTTGGAGCTTGATAGACATGGTCAAAAACAACATGGTTTTATGATGTTGTATAAATGAGGAGATATGTTGTAAGTATTTATTATAAGAAAGAAATACCTGTAGACAACCTTGGACCCCATGTCTGAGTTATATGGTTTAGACACTTGGTTGCCCAAATAAAACTCCATCCGGTCATGGATCTCTCTGTTCTGTAGGACACATTTGATATGTTACAGTCGCACAGTGAAAAGTAGAAAAAATAAAGCAGCTCTTTGAAATAACTCAGGCGCTGACCTCAGCTTCGAGGAAAGCCACCCTCTCTTTGAGGTCTCCGATCAGCCGGTCTCTTTGCTCCATTATGGTTCGTGAATTTTGCACCTGTTAACATATTTGGACATATGAATGAATTAATGCAAGCACTTATCACATTCAAACTGATTTTAAGGTTTAAAATAAAGTTGAAATAAAACTTAAATAATCTACAGAAAAATTAAATAGAGCTGGATTTCTGAAGCATAATGCTTTGCTTGCATCTGTGATTTCAGTGTTCATGGATGAAGCCATTATGTGTAACATGAGATCTAAAGTGCACCGAGGTTGAGCAGCAGGGAAATGACAGAATCTTTTATTTATGACTGAGGTTGAGTTTCACTTCTCATCTCTGAGCAAACACTCTATATAATGCACGACCTGTTTATTTTTGAGAATCTCAAAAATCTTCCTGATGTTTCTTTTTAATTTTACCTTGTCCTCTCTCCTTTTTTGTTCTTTATGAGCGTATTTCTTTAATTCAGCATGAGTATTTTATATATATATATATATATATATATAATTTAAATATTTAAAAATATGCATATACCTACATTTAAAAAATTGAAATGTTTTTTAAATGTAAATAAAATAAAATAATTATTTAATTTTATTAAATTAATTTTCAATTAATTAAACATTTTATTTTATTTAATTTTCCTTTTAAATTATATTAATATATTATTTAATTGTATTAATACATTAATACATTAAAAGTACTGTTTAAATTATGATTGATACATTTATACATAGCCTCTCTCCTCCCACTACATTTTTCATGATCACGCCTTAAATTTTTTATCATTGAATATAAATAAAAATTACATTACATATATAAAATGGTTTGCAAATGTCATTTAATGATTTGTCTCTGTGATTGGGTGTTTCTCCAAATATCCACAGTAATTATTACCTGTTCGATCATGTTCCTGACTTTCCTTTGTTGACTTTTGAGCATGTCATCTAAGTTGTGGTTCTTATCCTTCAGAGTTGCCAGCTCCTTTTTCAGTTGTTCAGACCTGCAGTACAGAAAACCTGTATGTTACACATCTACACACACAAATGACACTTACATGCAACACAGAAGCAATTAGCAACGTAGAGGGTGAGTCTACTTTTAACGTATGAGAATCAGTCAAAGTCGAATTCTATGTGAGAGGCGTGACATTGAAAGATGAGTTTCTATGGCAGCACAATGCAACTTAATAGAGCTGTAATTAGGCCAATTTATTGCTTACTAAATTGCAGGTGGAAAATATTTAACGTAGCCAAGGAAACAGTTAAACATATGAGAACAATGCATTATGTTATCCTATTACTTGTTTCGCTTCTGTTTCAGTTTTTATAACCATTTCTTACTATGTGTAAGTAAGTTGTTGTTTTTTAGCATGTGTGTTTGGCAGTGTTATTTTTTAGGATTACTGATAAACTACTGTCATTTGATTTGTATT